TGTTATATTTTTTACATTCCTTATTTCAGTGTATTTTAGTTAAAGCTTTTTGTGATCCTCCCGATGAATGCCGCTGGTGTGAACTAACATTTTGTTTTTAGAGTACAACTTGCTCTTTTCCTCATTATTCATGAGCAACTTCTCACTGAGGTGTCAAAGGTGCAATATGATGTTTTTCTGTTTAAACTGACCACAGCCATCACTGTCTCGTGTACACCACTGGTTCATCTTTTGTAACTTATTTTTGATAATTGTGTGATTTGAGCTGCTGCAGCTTCATCTCCTTCACAGGGCAGTGGGCTCTGAACACAATGAATATGTTGCATATTGCAGCCACTTCTGTTGAGTGATAGATATTACTGAATGCTTTTGTCTTTTAGTTAGAGATGCAGTTGTTCCTCCTGTGAAAGGTGCTGATGTCTCTCACACCAAACAACACTTGTCTAATGTGATAGTAATGAAAACACAAACACTACAAACTTCCAATTTATATTTTTGTATTTTGTACCAATATGTAGTTTTGGTGTATGTGACACCGAATGATAGAAGGATTTCTTTTGTCATGATGTGCCACGGAAAAATAAACACAAAAGTGAACCTAGTGTCTGAAGGGTGTGTTTCTTCACTGACGATAGACGGTTTCCCCTGTACTGCTCCTATTGGTTCAGGGTCAAGACGATGCAGCAGCTCCAGTGATAAACCCTGCAGGCTTTACACAACCCTCCAGCTGTGACCACATGCTGTCAATGCAACACATCTGTCTTCCAAACCACTACACCAGTACGGCCAGTGGTGAACTGTAACTAAGTACATTTACCCTGCTTTATACCTTATTAAAAATGTTAGGTCATTCCACTACTTCCGCTTTGCACTTCTTCTTTGCTACATTTTTCAGATAATATTGTTTGTTTTACTTTTCTACTTTTACTTTACAGCTGTGGTTATTTGTTACTTTGCATATTTAATCTGGCAAACAAACATAAATATATATTAAACTGGCTGTTTTATCAATGTTTAAAGTTGGTAAACTAACTTCAACTGTAATAGCTACTAAAACAAATGATAGCGTGACTCATGCTGCTCATGAGTATTTGTATTTTTTATAATCTTCAATATATTTAATCATGCTTTAGTTTACATTCTGAAAGGAGCGTTTCACATTCTCCATGAATATTGTATGCGAGTTATTGCAGCTAAATCATGCACATATTTTATCCACCATTGACATTTGCACAATTTCTATTTGAGGTCAAACCGAAAGCAAATAATCTCTCCCTGTTACCAAGAGCGGAATAGTATATTAACGAGCAAACAAAGTAATAATTCAGTATGAGAGAATGAAGTTCGGTCTCGGCTGCTTCTTAAGTCCTCCTCCACAGCTCAGTCAGAGCTTTCTGTGTTTTAACAACATTTTGATATATAAAAAATCCATTCAGTGTCTCTCTCTCACACACGACACATTATACCCCAGCACAATGCTTGTAGACTGACCGCCCTCCTCGTGTTGGACGCAGCACAGAGGACCGCGGACATTTGTAGGCCTCCGCTCTGTTCTCTCAAACACAGCAGGATCTTTAATTCATCATGCAACTGAGGCGTTTTCATTGTTTTTTCCCCACAAGTTTGGAACACAAATACTTAATCATATCAGCTCACAGATCTTTAATAATCATTAAGTGAAGTAGAAACATTTGAAGAAAATATAGCAATCCAAATGCTCCTCAAAATAAGCCTGAAACGTAATTAACTTGGCAAACAGAATAAACAGCAGTCAGTATTTGGTTCACACTTTACAGAATTTGTGTGTGTTTATGTTGAGATTAAGTGTTTTTCTGAAGAGGCTGCTCGTTTCTCTTTAGTGTGTCCTGCAGGAAGAAAAGGGGGAGGTGGGGACAGAGAGAGCAGCTCAATGTTTGGGGGTCTTATTACATTTGCTTAATACTTTTTTACATTTAATCAGCCTTATCAACACCTGGACTGAGTGTGTCAGTGCCATAAACTGGTGGCTAATCTCAATGATTAGTAAATCACCGTTTTTAGGTTCATGCCAATGCACATTTGTATTAATTCATTTGTGTTAACTGAAATCAACACACAACTATTACAGGTTAAAAAAGCCACATTTTAAAAATAATTTACTTACATTTACCATCTACACAAATTACATTTGTCTGTGATGCTTCATTAAACTCTAAAGGTAATAAAGAAAATATATACGAGTCCAAATAGACCAATAGATATAGGGGTAACCATACCTTACTCATTACTTTATTAATGAAAAATCAAATGTTTTCAGGTATTTCAAATGTGTGCAAGAAAAGTCGTTATTATGGAAATCATCATTCAATGAGTTCCAATAATAAAAACAAACATTTTACTAAAGAAAAAGCAATTCACTGAATTTAAGCTTTGCAAATTGTCAGTATGTATAATACAAATGTGATGTCATGCCCCTTAGTACATGTGATCAGAAAGAGCTATCTTCCCTTCTTTTGATGTGTGATGTCAAAATCATTAAAATCTCCATAACAGGAACTTGTGATGATACCATAAGTAGGATATATGTTTGCCTTATAACAGCTGCAAGTATGAGCACGTTTTATTTTTCATAGTGAGTTTCATAGCTTGTCAAATTGTTTGGACAAGGGGGTGAATGTGAACAAGACTATCTGTTTTAGAGGGAACAATTTGTTACTGCTTTCACACAACAAAAGGGAATCAATTGAGAACTATATACTCCCTCATTTATCCATTAAAAGAAGCAAACGGCTCACTGCTGAACACATTTGGATTTGGAACTGAAATTCTGGTAGAACCGAAAAAAGTTATTGTTTTTGAACACCATCAAAACAAATGACATCTTTACAAATGTGAATTTACCCATAAACCCCATGCAATGAAAGTGAGAGGAGATACTCCCTGTGGTGTTTCATTGAGGTATGAGGGCGCCTCGCGGTGGTGACAATGGGAAAGTGCAGCTCTTCCTTCACTAACAACAGCCCTTTGGAAAGCAATCCTCGTCTACATTTTAGTAATATATAGTTCATTAATTTGTTCATGATTTAATTTCAGTATCAGCAGCTTTATATTAATGGCAGCTGAAGGTGTCCTTGTTGAGGTGTTGTTGCTCCTTGTGAAATATTATCTCTAATGCAGTTCAGAGAAGACGTTTATTAATGGGATCAGTGTCGACAATTTAGATCCAGCGCTGTTTGTTGATTTAAAAGAAAGATTTTAAGAATGTAGGTATTTTGGCCTGGCTTTATGTTAGTGAAACTCAGAGGACCTCTGCACTTTGGCTATTTCAGGAAGAACTGGCCTTGACAAAAAGCTCAAGGTGATTTTCTTTCATTGTAGGAAAACATGGTTGTAGTGGTAGTACAATGTTTCTACATAATGAAAACCATGCAAACTAAGCAGCTCTATAGTCTGGTGATGGAGAAGGTGGATTGTTCTTGAATACCCTTTGGGCTCTTCTCAAGCATCCCCCTCCTCATCATGGGGGCTACATATAGCTTGCTATCAATGGTGATTTCAGAGCCCTTCTGTGCTTGACCGTGCAGATCCCAGGCCAGTTCCTAATGTTCCCTGTCCGCAGGCTCTGTAAAAGTTAACAAAACCTTGGCAGGAGGATTTTGCCTCGTCATGTGTTTTTACCAGGATGAAGATGTGCGATGATGACCATTTAAGGTTGTTTGTGATGCTGATTTCCAGGAACTTAAAACTGTTACTTTGCTCCACATTAACTCCATTGATGAAGACAAGGGGGTGTCTTCTAACTTTTAGTAGTAGGTTGTTCTCTGAGCACCATTCTCCAATATTGTCCAGACCACAGCTTTAATTGTAAAAGAAAGGGGAAGTAGAAACAATCAGCTAGTATTTTAAAAAACAAACATTTACATTTTCAATTGAAAGCAGAGCAAAAATATTGATATTAATGCAACATCAATCAACATTTTACTTTAGGTATTTTGTTCACATTGACTTGATTGTGGGTTTCTCAGCTGATCAGTCACATTTGATTATCAGGCTGAACTGCCATTTCACATACATGCATGCAGTATTCTTAATGAAATGATATAACATTTCTTCATTACAATCACTGACTCTAAAGAAAATTGGAGATGTGATGATTAAGAGGGTATGGAACTGGCTGTGTTTCATTTGAAATCAATACCTTACAATACACCACAATGTTTGCAATTCAGTGCAACAACTCAAAAAAGATGGAAACAAAGTTAAATGAACACCTGTGTCTCAATAAACTCTGTCTCAGTTGTTTCATCGTATTAGTATGCACAGGTGTTTGTGATATTGTGTCTCTGAAACCAAACACCTCCTCAGGCACCTTTCACACTAATCAAATATATCTATTAGAATATATCCGACCACCTGAGCACGACGCTCCTGAAACTGCAGCGGTTCATTTGTTTGGTGCAGTAATGCAGACACAGCACTGACATCCCCAGCAGATAATTTCTTCAATTAAAAAAAGATCCATTTAAAAGCAAAAGGATAAATGTGCATTTGAAACAAGGAAACCATACGGTGAATACATAAATAGGAATAATGATAGGAATGTTGAAGTTCTTTATAAAACCAGGAATACTGTTTTTTATTTATTTTTAAACTATTGTGTTTTAAAGTTCAAGCACTGTTTCAACCTGTTGGTACTTGAACCAGACTTTAGTAACTCTAATTAGTAAATTAGAACAAATGTCTGGAGGATGACACATGTATTACCAGCACACGTAGCTGGGTGTGTCTGCATCACATTTAAATATCGTTTGTTTCCATGGATTCAAACTTCAAATAACACTAATGCCAACGATAGGCGTATACATATATCCTGATTTATCTATCTTTAAATGGTATTCAGCTTGTGTTTTTATTTACATTATGTGCACAAGAAAACGTCCTGTATGTCAGAGTTCATTACCACAGCATCAATGGTGTAAAACAAGTGAAATAAAATAAAAAGATTGCCTGGAAGAGAAATGTTTGATTTGATTTCAGTTTTATTGGATCAAACATGGACCCTGGTAGAAATACAATATATATTTACCAATTTTTTCATAGATATATGAAACGAGAACAACCAAACAAAGTTCAGTGAAGTCAAAAGATGTCCCACTTGTTCCTCGCTGCAGATGGTTACTTTATTCTTTCTGCTTCAGTAATTCAAGCATTTTCATGATATGTTTTTTGTCGCCGAGGGAGCCTCTTTTCTATTGAAGCATGTTGAGTCCCGCAGCATTACATCCTCTTGCTAATTCTTTTGAAAGCCACGCCCTTCTCTCCTGAAGTTATGCAACTCTGGAGGACATGTGCAAAAGAAAGAGATGATTTGTGATGAAAATATAACAATTTCTATTCATCTTGTTATAAAACATCTGACAGAATTAGTCTCAATGAGTATTAAGGTGCAGGGTTTGATTGCTTGAACACAACTGAAGTGTTCACTTCCCTTACCATAACCAGCTTATCCTCGATGATCTCTGCTGTGAATTGGTACTGAGGAAACTGAGCTGAAATCTTTCCGCCCTCCAGAAGGACAGTAGCCTACAGGGCACAGGGGAAAATCTCCAATAAACTTCCTCACATGAAAGATCAAGACAAGTAGTGAATATGTGGCACATTTGCAGTTAAAGGATCATGTTCTCTAGTGCCTGAGTTAATAGCTCACCTTGAATTTGTCACCCTTCATTGTCACCAGCTCACATTCCTGACCGATGGTGAACTTATTGGACCAGGCCCAGTTGGGAATGCTTTGTGTCCAGGTGAAGTTGTGCCCATCCTGAAGCACCTCGGTTACCACGTTGTGGTCTGTCTTGGCACTGAGAAGACCTGTGAGAGCGCAGGGGAAATTCCAAATGCTGAAGATTACATACATGACCATAAATCAATTTATGAATGATGTATCATGAAAGACAATCTCATACCAAGGGCTTCTAGAAATTCCTCATAGTTTTCTTGATTCTCTGACTCATATTTCCCAGCGAATGCCATGATGGTGAAAGGATAGAGACAAAGTGAGGAAGGAGTTTATGAGACAAAAATGAGTGTCCTGTATTTGTGAAGTGTTGCAATACCCACTTCTTCTCTCATATACTTTACTGCGTCCGCCCCCTGTGTGTGTGTGAAGAGTTGAGGCAGTTTTCTCTTCCGGCTCCCAGTTATCCAGAACTTTGCAAGTTTGAGCATGTAGGCTATGTTGCAATAAAATGCTCTGTACAAAACTGATTATCAACATCCTTTAAATAGTGGTATGTTTTGTTGGTTTCTTTAATTAGGGATCAGCAATTTTGACAACTATAGGACTATATGAGAATGAGTCTTTATAAATTGAAGTGAGTTATCAGTCAGTATTACACAGATCTGCATGCAAATAGTGATTATTTTCATTCTCCGCTGATTATTCCTTTCATTGTTGGTCTCTACAATGTCAAATATAAAAGTAAAAAACGATTTCATAGAGCTGATAAAATGTATTTCAATGACTTGTTTTGAAATGCTACTTTCAGGAGAGCCACTGAATTGAACATGTGTAGCCTATGTGAAAATGCTGTGCCCTTATTTAACTGTTATTTTTCTAATTATAGCCCGCATTCAGAATACTTATTTTGTTTGACTTGAACAATGGCAGTCAGATTACCATCTTTTAACAGCTGTATAATCTTACATATAAAAACATGACAGACAGACAGACAGACTTAGCTTGTGTAGCACTTTGATCGACAGGACTGAAATGATTGTTATATTTCCGACAGCATATGAACGCACCTAAGTGTCTTCCTCTTTGTACTTCAACAGCCGCCAGCCGGGTGATAAACTCCCGAAAAGCACTACTTTAGTCTAGGTCGTTTACATTTGTGAAAAATGTCCTCCGATGCTTTGAAAGACACGCTGTTGAAACTGAACCCGAGCAATTTAAGATGGTTCTGCAGACGGCTGGCGTGGTGGTCATCGAGCAGCTGCCCGAATTGGAGCGATGCGACGTTAGACACCACAAACATCTCAGAGATCACCGACTTCATGGTTTCAACTTACACGGAGGATGGTGCTCTGTCAAAGGCTGCAAATATACTGAGGATGATGGACTGCAACGACGAGGCTGACACACTGGAACCAGAAGGTTGCAGAATATTTAAACCATAAATTCAAGATACACAATTATACTATGACTTTCGAGCAATCACTTTTTTTCTCTATGTTGCCTTCCTTTCCGGGTCCGTGTACGTTTTGTCAGTTTGATTTTTCGTTTAAACCAAAAGCCAAAAAACGAAAATACCAGCCTTTTTTTGTTTTTGATTTAAAACGAAAAACGGGAAACCAAAGCCGTTTTGGGTCCGTGTGTTAGTGTAAGTTTTGGTTATTGGATTTTCTTTTCACAAATGGATATTCAAAAACAAAAAACGACTGGATATTTAATTTTCGTTTTAAAATTGAAAAACCAAAATTGAAATACAAGGCGTTTTTCTTTATCATTGTCAACTAGGGATTTACAAAACTTAAAAAACGGGATAATTTTCATTTTATTTGCACAAGTTTAATAGTGATTCTTTTGTGGTTTGAATGTTGTAAATACCTATCTTTTTTTGAATTGCTCTCGCATGTTTGGTCTGATATGATTGCTTTCGTTGTTGACCTATCTATGGAGCTCATTTCCAATGGCCGGAAGTGATTAACAAATACAAATAAAGGTGGTGTAAACAAACAATAATAACACAAATAATAAACCTAGGCTAAATAAAATGTTAGCTCCTTACCTATTTCCACACTTTAGGTCTACTTTTTTCTCTAATGTCCTCTTTCCCTACTTCTATATCTGCAGCTCAATGCACATTATTTTAATCTAAAGTTCAGTCTTTCTTCTCTAACCCCCAAAAACTCTTCTTTGTCCTTTCCACCCTCCTTGAACCCCCAGTCCCCCAACATCTTCCTCCCTGCTACTGAGAGATTTTGTCTTTATTATTTTTATTTTTCACCCCTCTCTCCAACAAAGGTTCTTGCCCTCGTTACCTCTGCCCGTCCAACAACATATCCTCAGGAACCTAACACTCTTCCCTTTCTCACCCACTTCCTCAACACCTCGCTATCAACCGGCTGCTTTCCAATTACTTTTAAAAGAGGCATGGGTGAATCCTTTCATAAAGAAACCCACTCCTGACCCTTCCGATGTAACAAACCACATACCTGTCTCTCTTCTTCCTTTTATTTCTAAAACACTAACACATTAAAGAGTGTGCTGTCTTTAATTAACTCTCTTCTTACCTTCATCAGAGCAACTTTCCACCGCACCATCTAGGCCATTCAACTGATACTGCCCTCCTCGCGGTCACTGAGGAACTGCACAATACTAAAGCTGCCTCCATCTCCTTTTTCCTCATACTTGTGGACCTTTCCACTTCATTTGAAACAGTGAACCAACCGATCCTCCTTCATGCTCTCCAATAACTGGGAGTCTCAGGCTCTGCACTTTCCTTGCTCTCATCCTACCTCAAAGACAACAGCTGCAGGGTATCTTGAAGAGGGTTTGTGTCTGACCCTTGTCAACTCATCAATGAGGTCCCACAGGGGTCAGTCCTTGGTCTCTCCTTTTTCTCTGTCCTATAACAGCTACGCAGCTAATAAACAACGGACTTCTCCTTGGTCTGAAACCCAGGTTTGCACGCATCTCTGCGTGTCTGGTGATATCTCTCAGTGGATGTCTGCACACCACCTGAATCTCAATCTAAACAAAATAGAACTGCTATTCATCCCTGTTAAGGACTCTCCCATCTATGACCTTTCTATCAACATCGGCACCTCTGTTGTTTCCCAGAGAAAGCAACGCATATTATGGTCTAGGCTCTTTTCATCTCAC